GGAAGTGCAGTTGTTCATTATGAGAGACCCTATGGCCAACCCCCCCATCTCCAAAAATCCAGATCAACAAACAAAGATCAGGCCTTTTGTAAAGCTAACGGCACTGATCTGCCCATTCAAGACCAAACCAACATTAAATACTTCACATTATGACAGGAATAGTTCACAACCAAATCAAGCTACATGGAACAGTCAAGACCCCAAGACTTTCTGAATGGCAGGGACTATAATATCATCCACACTTTCCAAGGTTTCCTCTTCTCTCTGAGCTGAACTGTCACCTCACAATAACTGGGAGGAGAACTGTGCTTTCTCTCAGAGTTCAGCTCAGAGAGAAGAGGAAACCTTGGAAAGTGTGGATGATATTATAGTCCCTGCCATTCAGAAAGTCCTGGGGTCTTGACTGTGCAAGACCTGACTCCGTTATACCATTGCTGCCAACCCAAATCAAGCTACATGGAACCTAAAATTGTACAGTGTGTTTCAGCACATTCGTAAATCCTCATAAGCACCTCCCCTTTTCCCTCGACAGTAAAAATACAACAACAAAGTAAATAAGAAGCAACATTCTGCCTTTTAATTATACCTTAAATCTGCTACTTGAAGTCTGCCTCACTCTGCTTAATGGTAGGGCCAGCCTAGTTTCCCTTGAGAGTAAATGCAAAACAGGTAGAGCCAGATGTTCTTCCGAAGGACAGGATACTACTTTACTGCAGAGGATGATCACATTCAATTAGCCTCTGTGCCTTTAACAGTCCAGTTGCAATGCTTTTTCTTTCCACAAACAAATTACAGGGATAAGGTGTATTGATGGCTGCAATGACATTATCATGAAACAGACATCTTTATGCTAACATTGTCCATAGGCAAATTTCTGCAAACATTAGTGATAAGGATGCCAAATGGACAGAAGAAAAATGCCATATAGCCACCTTATGTTCAAAGGATTTTTTTTTTTACTAGGGAAGGGGCTAAAATGGATTCTCAAAGGATGAATGTGGAAATAAATATTTATACATGATGGATGCTTTACAGGGCTCGGAGGCAATCTCTCCCTTCATTGAATAAAACAGCTCCAGGCCTGCAATTTATTATAATGAAACTAAACAAGACCAAATTTAGAAGGAGGGGAGCCAATTAATTTGGCACGTCATTTTTTGTTTGCTCCTGTCAGATATTGTTACATGAACTTGATAGATTGCAGGCCTGGATTTTTTTAATCAGGTGATTCTGAAGTACAAGGAATAGAAAGCACATGTTATTATCAACAACAACCACCAAGCCAAGGTATTCAGGAGTGCCTTGACATATCTAGAGAGAGAAACACCTCTTATCGCCCAAGACCAAGTTCTTGTACTCCTGCAGAACCTATTACAAAGATTTTCCTCACAGGACTTCATGTCATTAAATATTGCTTCAAACCTGAGCTACCAAGGCCCACATTTCAGCCCATGAACTTTGGAATTCCAAGACATAATCTCAAAGATATGACGTCTGAGGAACAATTCCGCATGAATATCTAGTCAGTTCTATCTCCTTACCTGTACACAGTTGAATACAGGTATATCAGGTCATCAACCTAGTAAAAAATGTCCCAGAGAAGTCTGAATGAAGATCAGCCACCATGTCCTCTAGTGTGGTGCAAAATGTGTAGCTGGAGGTATGCAATGTGGAGCTAGCTGTGTTTCCCCCCCTCCCCACACAACTGTCATTTCTTCCCCTCCTTACTAACTCAGTAATTGAGTTATGCAAAGGTGTAGGCTTGTTTTCTATAGATTTCAGTGCCATTTCTTTCTTGCTTGTTAAATGCAGATCTGGACACCTGTTCAAGTTTACAGCATGGCTTAAACATGGCAAGGCCCTTGATTCTGTTGTTATTGGCATCAGCCAACAGCTGAAGTGTTCAAATATGTAAGCACACAATTATTAAATTTTAAACATGATTACAGACCACCCAGGATAATTAATCACCTCTATGCCTTTAGAGCAATAACCCCCAGCTCATTCAGACAGAGAAAATAGTAGGGCTGGTTTGAGTGGATTTTTGAAAGCATATTTTTGAAAGCATATAAATAATGTATTTCATTCAATGTTTGTTTACAACTGGAAAGCCTGGCAGTATAGGCATCCCCTAAAAATAATACCAACGCATCAATTATGAAATACCCTTCAACACCATTACAATGCAATCCTGCATATTTATTAAGAAGTGAGTCCAAAACTACTTATTTAATTTTGATTTTACTCTCTATGTGTCACTTCTTTGTGGGTGGTGCATTTGTTTTCTTTATGAAATAGTCCATTTTGTCTCAGCTGAATTTATGGGTATGTGGCATATCAAATCATAGTTGCTTTAAATGTTGAGCATTTTTGTGACCTATTTCCAGTACGACTTGCTATGGAAAAGAGGTGTTTAACAAACTGGTTTTGTTCTGACTTACTCTCTAATAGATGTGCTTAGCTTAGGACTGCGGCCTTAAAGACTGTAAGAGAAAGCAAACTTGTTGGACCGCCTCTCCCCGAGACTGTCTGCCCATGCCACCCACTCCTCTCAAGCATTGATGTTGCAGGTTGCCACCCCAGGGGAGGCCCGGAAATCTATGACCAGAAACTAGGCCTTCTCGGTGGTTGCTGACACTCTGTGGAAGGCCCCACCAGTGGAGGTGTGCCAAACCTCTTCCCTCCCAGCATTCTGGAAGCTAGCAAAAACACTGCTTTTTAAATAAGCCTTTAGGGATATCCTCCCTTCATGATAATGTTTATGCCTGTATCATACTTTTGATCCTATTTTAGGCTGCCATTGGCACTGGGGGTTCTTTTGGGGGTATTTCTTTGGATTATCTGTTGATTGGCAGGCAGGCTGGATGTTTTATGGTTATGTTTTAAATGAGTGGTCCCCAACCTTGGGCCTCCAGATGTTCTTGGCCTACAACTCCCAGAAGCCTTCACCACCACTTTTGCTAGCCAGGATTTCTGGGAGTTGAAGTCCAAGAACATCTGGAGGCCCAAGGTTAGGGACCACAGTTGTAAACCATGCAGAGTAGTGGCATGCCACTTGATGAACAGTACAAAAATCTAATAAGCAAGCAAACAGAATTACAAGCAACTGTCTTAATCAGTGAACCATCCAGTCATATGGCTGGACAGTGTCAACGAAGCAACCAACATGAATTTGACACAACTCCGGGAGGCAGTGGAAGATAGGAGGACCTGGCATGCTCTGGTCCATAGGGTCACAAATAGTCAGACATGACTAAACGATGACAACAATGTCTTAATCAGTGGTGAGCAAAGTGTGGTACTGCACATTTTGTTGGATTGCAGCTTCCAGCATTCCTCGCCATTGGCCATGATAGCTAGGCCTAGTGAGATCTGCAATCAAACAAACTCTGGAGGGCCTTAATTTGCCCACTCTTGGTCTAGAACACGATTAGTGATAAAGTAGTACAGGCCATGCTGCTGTGAAATAATCCTGTAAGAAGATCCCTCCCAATTCTGAATGTAGTACAGTTCACCCTCAAACAATATGCACTATTCTACACTCACCAGCAGTTTACTAGTAGCCATGCATACAACAGCCTGTGGACCATGAAATGGAGAACACTGTCCTAGAAAGCACTGAGGAGTATAATCAAATGGCAGATCCTACTCAGTGCAAGTCTACAATTCACTACTCATTGAGACTAGGAAAAAATAGTCCTCACGTGACTAGTCACATATAGTACTTCTTCCATGAGATACATTTGTATAACTCAGTTTTTTCCCTGATACCTGAGAAAACCCCTGGACGAATGCAACACATTGCTTTCCTGAATCCAATAACACAAATGACAATGACTAGATATCTGGAAAAAGCAACGAGTACTAGAACAGTTTCCTACTGTGCTGATTTCCAAACATCAAGATGTTTCTTGGTAAGAAAATATTGGTAGTTAAGCAAAGCAATGGATGAAACACAGAGTGCATTTAGAAGCAGTGCACCAGAAAAAAGACTGTTAAGAGGGAAAGTCTGTTTATTCTAACACAAATGTGTTTCACCCTTCATTCAGCAAATTAGCTTACTTTTCTTTGTAACTGGTCCATTGGAGACAGTTCATATGGTTGATGATATCCATATGTCTGACACATCGGTCACAGAGCTGTGAGAGATTTATGACCCCCAGAGACTTTCTCGAGATCACAAATTGCTACTCTGAATAGTTCAAGCCTCTCTTCCAGACTGGGTTCAGATACAAAGACCTAGCACTTAATACTTTTGCTTAGGATGAAGTCTTGATCTTGTAAACGGTAAGAAAGATTTCTCAGTAATATGCATCATTAGAACTACAAACCAGAATGTGAACTGCCATAGCAACAGGGCTGGCGCTAGAAACCTCAAGGTGTGATGCATCCTTTTTGTACAGCGAAAAAAACCCCGTAAAAACCGTAAACCGAGGCATTACTAGAAACCTCAAGGTGTGATGCATCCTTTTCGTACAGTGAAAAAAACCCCCGTAAAAACCGTAAACCGAGGCATTACTTCTTACAGATTTTGGTTTGTAAACCAAAAATTACGTGAACCAAGACGCCTGTACATTTAGACAAAGAGCAAAAATGAAATAAAGGCAAACAACAATTCCAAATATGCACAGAGAAAATTACCAGTTGGGTCATCTCACTTTTATACCATTGGAAACTAAATTTAAAAAGTCACATTGATACATATTCTGATTCTAAAAGTATTTACAGAATAACTTTACAAACTTTTATACATAGTTTCATAATGAATGCCTTCTGGTAAGCTTTAAAATTAAGGCCATCATGAATCCTTAGAGGCTCCTAAGGCTGTAGTTGGTGCAGTCCCCTTGACTCTAGTAGTACACATTCATGCTTGGCTCCTTAGGAGAATTTATTTTTTAAAATGTGCAAATTACAGATATTGCCCTGAATTTCTGGAGGAGGAAATGGAATCGCCATTCATTTCTCAGGCAGATATGAATAGCTACAGTTGGTGGGCATCTTTTGTCAGTAGTGTGGCACAGAGAGCATGTGAAGAGCACCCCTGCCTGATTTTCAGGACCCTGCTACCAATCCTCCCTGCACCACAGCTCATCATCTTCAAGAACAGTCCTCTGCATAGCATTTTCAGAGGACTATAGGGACCACCATGTGAAGGATGGGGCACAGCTGTCTACCCCCATCAGCCTAGTTGAACACACTCATCTCAACTCAGCCCATTTTACGCCAGCCAAGCAGGGCAAAAGGCCAATAGGGAGAAAAATTCACATGTGAATTAGGTTGAAATCCTTCTGCATATTTACTAGGGAGCAAATACCATTGTCCTCATTGGGATTGAGTTGTGAATAAATAGGCACAGACCCACGCTGTTAGAACATGGCAGTTATAGTCTTACACAACTTACCTGGGATTTAGTCTCACAGAACTCAGTGGGGCTTGCTTCAGAGTAGACATGACACAGTGCACTGTTGAAATATTTGTGCCAATCCTTGTAAAAGCTGGAAAATATCTGCTACGGGTCAAATCTTATGTTGCACAGTAAATTAAACATAACACTTTAACGACACAATGAGTGCTTCATGTGATATTGTGTCCCACTTTTATCTCTTCTACTCCCAGCCACCACACAACCTTGTAGTTTTGGGGACATATGTGCAACAAATTACCACTAGCACATGCAGGTATAGTATAATTGTATTAGTCAAAAATACTGGTTGAATTTCTGGAAAAAAGACATTTTTCACACATTCAGTTATTCCATGCCTTAAATACTAGATATTTGTTTTTTTTAAAAAAATTGAACAGAAAAAAGTTACAATTTACAAGTGTCCATAAAAGTGAATAATGAAAAGAAAATTCAAGATAATCTAACAAGGATCCACCTAACAACAATAAGAAGACACGTTGAAATGCAACTGAGGAATTCAGTCACATCCTGGTGGAAGAAAACCCACATTCCAGGATAAATTTGTGATGTGTCTCTTCTACGAGACAGTCTTGCTTGAAGCCTTGTCTTCTTTGAGAAATCCGACTCCTCAGCAAAATACTGCTAAGCAGGAATGCTGCATCAATGATCCTCATTTATGTCGACCTGAAACAAGAATATACAAGTTACTAAGAAAGAGTAAAATTAAGGCAATTTTTACCCACTCTGTGACATTCCTTGTGTTTCAGCAATC